ATGGTTTTTATATGTGTATGTACACAATGTGTATCGGGAAATCATTTATGCAAGTATCCACTCGCACTTGTACCCAATGGACAATACTACATCCGGCTCTAATGCCATTGCCGATACCAATTTATCACTGGCTATCCGAAGTAATCGAGGTTGTTGGACTTGTAGAATTAGGAAAAAGAAATGTGATGAATTACAACCTGGTTGGTTTCATGAATACAAGTTCCCAGTTACCGAATGAACTAATAGATTTTCAACTATCAGGTTGCTCGAGATGTGCCGATGTTAATGTAGAATGTCGATATGGTCCAAAACCAAAATGGATAGATGATCCAAAATTTGGGAAAATAGAATTGGAGAGGATTAAAGCTATTGTTGCTGCATCCGCAAATAAAAAGAGAGCCGCATTTCGTGCGAGGAAAACTTCAAATCCTACATCATCATTACTCAAATCAACACCAAAATCATCTAGTACGACGAAAAACCCTGGGAAAGAAAGCAAGCTTTCAAGTATTGACAATGTCGTCTCAAAATCTACTAACATGGAAATGGTCCATGATAAAACCATTGAACCTAAATCTTCATTATTTCCAAAATGGATCGAGGATCAAGAAGCAAGTTTAATGATGCATTACCTCGATCATGTTTTCTTTATCCAATTTCGTTTTCATACTCCATCATTATCATCTGGAAGAGGATGGCTTTTATCATTATTGATCAGAACGAAACCTCTCTATCATGCAGCCTTGAGTTTAAGTGCTTTTCATCGTCAATCACTTCTTGTAGAACAGGAAAGTGGTCAAGCTGAGATAGATTATCTTCATGAATTACGACATCATCATGATTTGACTCTGAAAGAGTTGAGAAATTTTATTCAATCTAATAATAAAAATGTTTCTGAGCAAGGTGCATTTGATGGAAATATTCAAATTCTTGCTTGCATGATTCAATTGATTTCTTTTGAGGTGAGCATTTACATCATTATTTATGTTTTAGATACTGATAAATATCTTTAGCTCTTTCATGGAGGTGTTAGCAATTGGCAAGTTCATCTACGAGCTGCATCAGAACTTATATTGATACTTCATGAAGTATCAAATGGCGGTATACCAAGTTCCGAGACATCATTAATCTCTTCTCAATGCTTCAACCATCCTTATGCACATTCTCTTGAATCTATTACGAGTGGAATTACGGTTTCTCGTGATAGTGCAGCATTAGATTTCTTTACGGGTGCTATTATTTGGATGGATGCTTTGTAAGCAAGATACCCCTTTCCTTTGTCCGAATTCTCGCTATCTACTACATGATGTATTGGTTAGCTACCAAAAGATCGCTAACCCAGATTTATAGATCCTGTGTATCTACAGGATCTCATCCCATGGCTTTCCGAATTTCACAATCGACTCCTCTCGGCCAAAAAATCCGACTCCTCGTAACCCGACCCCTCAAAGTGCGACCACAAATTCAATTACCCTCAATCATGGGGATGTGAAAACTGGGCCATGATAATGATTAGCGAAATCGCCTGGCTAGGAACATGGAGAAAAAAACACGAAGAAAAAAAAACCATAAATATAAATTTTACCAACAATTACTC